TCCTCACCATTTATGTACTTTTCTACTTTGGCGAGCACCTCCGCCATACTAGCTTGGGGGTTCTTTGAGATAGAAAACATCAGGTCTTTTGACTGAACCCCCAGACCTGCTATGAAGGCTATAATAGTAAATTTTTCATCTAGGACATCCACCTTCAAGAATTCTGAGTTGAACCGTTGGACATAAGACCGTAGGTTCTCATCAGGTCCTTGTTTCACATTTAACAAATGGTAGCTCGGCTTCCTATAGGTCCGAGCTCCAATGAAGTGGGACACAAACGAGATTGACAGCTCTTTAAAAGAGAAAATCAAGGCTGGGGGAGTCTGTTGAACCATGCTAAGGCTGAGCTCTTCAGGGTGATAGCAAAGGCCCTATATCTCACTGGATCTTGATATCCATGCAACTCCATTTGATTTTTGTAGGTGTTGAGGTGGTCCACGGAATCTTTTGTCCCATCGAAAGCATCCACCTGTAGCATTCTGAATTTAAGTGGTAGAGGAAAGTGCAGCACCCCAGCAGTGAATGGGGATTCGATTTGCTACACCAAGGCATCCATAGTGACTGAGGCCTTGCTCTTCACTGTCTCCTTCATCTGGCTAAGCTCTTGCTGGATGTCTTTGAAATGTTGCTCCTAGTGGTGTTCTCTTCTCTCCTGTTGATATGGGAAAAAGTCGTTCATCTCCCCTTCCTTATACTGACTTTGCACTTCCTCGTTGTGTCCATTTGTAAGGGGTAGTCGAGGTTCTTGCCCGAAGGTCTGGCTATTCTCTCCCATCTCATTAACTTCTCTGAGGGGGTCGAGGTGCAGTTGCTCTCTTGGTGGTGGGTTATTCTGGCCTCCTTGGGCCGGTCATGCCTCTAGTGGGCGTTGTAGGAGCTTTAAGAGCTCTTTGTTCTATTTTATCAGACGTTCATTGACAAGCCGATGGGTCTCCATCTCATCATTCATGGGAAGGCCCCCCCATTGGGGGATCTGCTTCTTGAGCGTTTTTAGGTTGCCTGTTATTTGCGGCTTCCTGTTGATCTTGCATCCGTAGAGGATTGGTCTGACTTCGGCTCATGTTTCGCATTGATACCATCAGTCACTGGAAAATCAGCTTTATTTGTAACAGGTTCAGTCCTTCCCACAGATGGCGCCAAACTGACGGTGTATTTCAACGTGATGAGAATTTGTGATGACGAGTAAATGAAAGAAAATAATATTAGAATTGTTGAGATTTAAGCTACTAGACTCGAGTGAATGATTGTCGGGGAATTGGGGAATTAACACAGTAGGAATATAGTGGTTCACCAGCTCGGGAGCTCGGTTAATCCACTTTTTAATGAACACTCTTGCTCCTTGTCTTTCAATAATGATGATTGCAAGAGTACAATGACTAATTTTTGCCTCTAGGGTTCCTCTCATTCCTTGGGGCGTTACATAGTATTTATAGGGTTGTTCCCTATTCAGTGGGATCTTAGCCGAAATTCTTGCCCTTATTTCGTGGGGTTCTCCTTGATTATAGGAGAAGATCTTGGTTGGTTGCGATTAGGTCTCTCGATTATTGCTTCCTAACGCTTTTAGGAACCTCTCGTGATCTTCCAACTGTTGTCTTAGTTGTTATTGCCTTTGTTTATCTCGAAGGGACTTCCAGCTCTACTCTTCCAAGTTCTGTTCGTCTAGTCTGACCTCCTGGGCTGAGCTGACGTTTGAGATTTATTTTGAGATATCATCAAAGATAAAAAAAAATGACTAGATTACCATAATCTAGTTTTGGATTACATTTGTCGCAAGAGTGCTTTTGTCTTTTTCAATTTAGTACTGCATATTAATCTCCAATTCCATTATAATGGACACACATTTTATCTCAACCTATTATTACTCTTGACAATCTCGCAATTTCATTTTATGTTATACCCGAACCAAACATCCCTTTAATAGTTTATCATATTTTGTGAATCCAACCGTAAGATTCAGTGATCCTTCCATGCTCGTCATGCATGTTAAAGATTATGTCAATATGATATTCATAATTGCTTCATCCACATCATGCTCTAAAATTAAGGTTTTGAACTTTTAATGTAAGAAAAAGAAATGTGCATTCACTAAAGTCGAATGTTCAGTGTGCATGAAAGCACATTTTGCAGAAAGTTATGAAACTCTCAGTTCGTCCACCAGATATGGGTGGAGCATTACCCAAATAAATTAATTAATGTTTTTTTTATTTTTCTAAATTCCAAATAGACGTGTTGAGTGGATCGTGGGAGTATTATAACGGATTGAAAAGAGGAGTACACACAGTAAAGCACACTAATAAACACACACATGACTACGATTATTGTACTACAATATTGTCAACCTGGCCAAAGCTGTCAACAGAACACTTCATTGAAAACGTCATGTTTGGACCAAGAGGGCTCTCGCACCTACTGAAAAAGTCTTTCAGATATTAGGGTTTGTCTTGGCATGATTTGATGTGTTTCGGACTTTTCAGTTCTTCCATGTCATGGATTTGATTTGATATCGACAGAGATGATGTACGAAAATTTTTTTCTACTGTGAATGTAAGAAATGTGGACGATGAATCAGGTATCAACATTCAACCAAAATCATCTTGTAGGTCTGCCATAGCGAAAGCATTGTAACCATCATCATAGTTCAAGTTACATATGACAGAGGTACAATTTACGGTTTTTTAGTCAAAATAAAAATAACAAACAAAAAAGAGTGATTCGTATTGGTGGAATAATTGTAACGTGACTACAAGTTTTTTAGCCTAAATATATGATATTTGGTCCACCACACAAATAGTGCATTCAATTTCTTATTCCTTATCATTTTCTTTCTTACTAGACTTAATCGACGAGTCATAACTGTCACAAAGTATAAAAAAAACAAATTCAACAGTGGTGCATAGATTCAAAAATAGAGCTAGCATATTGAGCTAAATGTATGTTAGCAATGTATAACCCTAAACAAATTACTGTGTACCATTTTGCTTTGATTTTCCCCAGAAAATTAATCCAACGATGGTCGAACATAATCCAAGCAATGATGTATACTCTTTAGTTTGATCTAGGTCCCTTCTAGTACACAATTTCATTCAATTTCTCTTAATCCTAGAACACCTATTATGTATTGATGGGAGACCCATTTATATTCATGGGTCAAGTTTGAATTAATTATGAGTAATTTACCATTAAGAAAAAATTCAGTGAAATATATACTGTATGCAATCGAAATCACCCTATTTTTTGTTTTTCGAATACATCTTAGTTTTGCGCTCTCTGTGGGAGTAAAAGCTGTAAAGTTTCATTATTTAAAGTGCAAAGTTAAAAAATGAGTAAATTATATTTTATCTTTTAAACTATTATCTTTGTTTTACTTTGCACCCTCAACTATTGGAGTGATATAAAATAAATTGATATTTTAGGGTGCAATGTAAAAAAATTTATAATTAAGAGTGTAAAGTGAAATAAATATAATAGTTTTAGGAGGTAAAATATAATTTATCCTAAAAGAATGGAGCAGCTCTGGCTTCAACTAGGGTGTAAGAATGGATCTAGATCCCCTCCAATATATTTTTCTTTTAATTTCTTGCTTGATGGATCATTTATCACTAATGAGTAAAGGACTCACTTGTTTATTATGGGTCTCATTTGTATATTATGATAGGTGATCTGTCAATAAGAAAATTGAAAGAAAATGTATTAAAGTGAATCCGTGAAACATTGCCCTACATCAACATAAAATTACAAGGACAAACGAACTCGAAAATGTTTTGTGTTGTTCCATTCTGAGTCTGAGTTCCTTTAACCACATAAAATATGAATTTAAGTGATATTCATGACTAGCAGACAGTTGTATGCATTCAAGGATTGTTAAAACTATAAGTCCCAAGAACACATAGTTAAAAACATTTTGCGTTATGTACAACCAAAAAAAAAAAAAGGAAGATATAAACAAAGTAGGAATTTGTCGAAACAAAAATAAAATTCAATCCCACGTAATGAATTTGTTTGCATCAATCGTAGCTGGTTGGGTGTGAATGTGAGAGACATTACAGCCTGTGAGGCATAGTCAAGAGATTCTGGACATGGGGCCAAACTTAGGGTTTGTGATGGAACTATTTAATGTGTTGTGTAGACTTTTTTGTTCTTCCACAATAGATTTTCAAACAGCCACACAAAAGTCTCCACTCTTATGGTTTAATTTTTGTTTTTTTGTTACACAGTGGTGTTGACCTATGTGCTACAAGATTAATCTGTTGGGGATTGAGTTGAGGTCATTGTGGGACTCTTTTGTTTCTATTGGGTGCTTAGTCTCCCAGAGTTAAAAAAAAGTAAAAAATCATCGTAACGACAAGATTTATAAGATCACATGTACATAATTTTATTCTTACAACTCTCGCAATTTGAAAGAGTCATATTTATGTTTGTACATTATTTCTCGTTTGGGTATGTTTTGAAACTTTTGAAAGAGTCATATTTATGTTTGTAGATCGTTTCCGTTCGGGTATGTTTTGAAACTTAATGAAATACTACTGTTTTTTCGAAATGAAAATGAGGACAAATTTCATTTTACCCCACTATGGTTAGACCCATTTGCACATCACCCCCAAACCCCCAATTTAAAACTAATCCACATATATCTCTCTTTTTCTCTCTCTTATATCTCTCTCTTTTTCTCTCTGCTCACTTTAATTTTAAATTATGTAATTACTATTTAAAATACAAATTGTTTTATGATCAATGAGTAACTGTCCAAATTAACGGAATTGATGATGTGGAAGGAAAGAAATTCCCCCCTAAGTGGCTATATGTGAAAACCACCTTTGGGCCACAGGAGGTGATTGATGTTCACCTTAAGCAAACATCATAGATCAAGAGATATAGGCAAAGGTCAATGCCAACAGTAATTGCATTCCCATCTATGCCATTTCTTCTTCAAACACCAACTATATACTGCATCTTCCTCTTCCGTGCAGTGAACAATTCCTCCCCAAATGATCTGCTTAAAACCCAATATGGAGCCTCAAAACAACATTTCAAATGCTTTTTGTTCATCGTTGCTTTTATTTTCAATGAACTTGCTATTTCTGCAACATGTTTCAACTGCCACTCATCTGGGAAATGAAACCGATCGACTGGCCCTGCTCGAATTCAAGCATCAAGTGGTCAATTATCGCGACGGAACACTGAACTCATGGAATGATTCCCTGCCACACTGTCAATGGCAAGGTGTTACATGTAGCTACCGACATCAAAGAGTCACAGCCTTGAATCTACGCGGACATGGCTTGGTTGGATCCATATCTCCCCATATAGGGAATTTGACCTTCCTAAGGTTCATTGATCTCAGAAACAACAGTTTCAATGGTGAAATTCCCCAAGAAGTTGGTCGCTTGTTCCGCCTGAGACATCTAAACCTGACAAACAATGCAATTGGCGGAGCGATTCCAGTTAACCTGAGCCGCTGCTCAGAGCTCAGAATCATTGAGTTAGCAACTAATAATCTCGTCGGAAAAATTCCCCCGGAGATGGGCTCTCTGAACAAGCTCGTGACACTTTTTCTTAGAGCGAACAATTTGACAGGATCAATTCCGCATTCTGTTGGGAACCTTTCATCCCTGGAACAAATTACTGTAACATTCAATAATCTGGAGGGAAGTCTACCAATTCAGCTTGGCCAACTCAAAAGATTGACTTACTTAAGTATTGGAGTCAATCATTTTTCAGGTATGGTCCCTCAAACTCTTTACAATATCTCAACTATCACTTCCTTCAGCGTCGGAGAAAATCTGCTGAAAGGGAGTCTTCCGGCTAACATAGGTCTCACTCTACCCAGACTGCAAGTACTTGGTATTGGCGCAAACCAATTCTCTGGAACAATCCCATATTCAATCACCAATGTTTCCGAACTTCAAGTACTTGATCTTCCTGAAAACAACGTCAAGGGACCAGTTCCAAATAATCTAGGAGATCTCAAAAATCTTCGCATTCTAAATGTTGGAATTAATCTTCTGGGTACTAATACAAGTCAAGACTTGAGCTTTATTACATCTTTGACAAACTGCAGCAATTTACAAAGGCTAGACCTTGATGGAAATAACTTTGGAGGAGAATTACCCAACTCCATAGGCAATTTCTCTCATCAACTCACAGAGCTAGGGCTAGGAAGGAATCAGATATCTGGAATTATCCCCCAGGACTCGAAAGACTTGCCAACCTGTACACGTTAGGAATGGAGAACAACCTTTTCACAGGTACCATCCCAAGTAATTTGGGGAAATTACAAAGGTTGCAACAATTGCTACTATATGGAAACAGATTATCAGGACAGATCCCACCCTCCCTGGGCAACCTCTCTCAAATGTACTCCCTCTTTTTAGCTATCAACAGATTAGAAGGCAATATACCTTCGAGTATTGGGAACTGTCAAAATTTGCAAATGCTGGAACTGTCACAAAATCGCCTTACTGGCATCATACCCAAAGATGTTATGAGTTTCTCCTCCCTTTCGAAACACCTGAACTTATCACAAAATTCATTGAATGGTTCCCTACCGCAGGAAGTAGGTAAGCTGAGAAATATAAATACATTGGACATCTCGAATAACAAATTGTCTGGAGAAATTCCAGGAACAATTGGAGATTGTTCGAGCTTGGAATACTTAAATATGCAAGGAAACCTTTTTGAGGGCACCATTCCCTTAACTTTGGCTTCTTTGAAAGGTATTCAACATCTAGACCTTTCAGGAAATAACATGTCCGGAGAAATTCCCAAAGACCTGGGGAGCCTTCGCTTTTTGCAATATCTTAACCTCTCTTTCAATGAACTTGAGGGCGAGGTACCTACCAAAGGAGTTTTCAAAAACGCAAGCGCAATATCAGTGGTTGGGAATACCAAACTTTGTGGAGGTATCCTTGAACTGAACCTACCGCCATGTCCTACCAATGTAAAGAAGCATGGAAGACCTAAAGCATTCAAGATAGGGATCATAGTCGGCAGTGTAGTTCTGTTTTCAATGCTAATGATGTCCTTTGGAGCCCTATGCTTTTGGAGAAAAGAAAGAACAAGTGACTCGTTTTCCACAAGTTCAAGAGTTGACGGGCTTTAAGGATTTCTTACTATGACCTATACCAAGCAACTGCAGGATTCTCTTCAGGAAATCTGATTGGGTCAGGAAGTTTTGGGTCAGTCTACAAGGGAAGCCTGCAGCAGGGGAAGGAAAGGTTAGTAGCAGTAAAGGTACTTGAACTTGAGAAGAGTGGAGCTTCAAAGAGCTTCGCAGCCGAGTGCAGAGCCTTAAGGAACATACGACATCGGAATCTAGTTAAGATCTTGAGTTACTGTTCCAGCATTGATTCCAAAGGTAATGAATTTAAAGCACTAGTTTACGAATTTATGGAAAATGGGAGTCTAGATTCGTGGTTGCATCCAGAAATAGTTGAAGTGAATACATTGAGGACTCTGAATCTTCTCCAGAGGCTAAATATTGCAATTGATGTGTCTTCTGCGTTGCATTATCTCCACAACCATTGTGAAACACCAGTTATTCATTGTGATTTGAAGCCAAGCAACATTCTTCTAGACAATGACCTGACTGCTCATGTCGGTGATTTCGGATTAGCAAGGCTCCATTCAGGAAAGACCAATGATATTTTACAGCAGCAAAATAGCTCGATTGGAGTAAAGGGATCTATTGGCTATGCAGCACCAGGTATGATTTTGTCATACTTTGTGCTTGATTTAGATCATCGATATGTTTCATTTAGCTAACCTGTACCTCATTTAATAATATTCAAGTATGGAAAACACACATATGAACTTGGAAGATACTAACATTGCAGCCTAGAATCAAGCAAAATAATTGGTTCTGACTTCTACAACGAAACTCATTACTAAAACAAAAACTTTCCAAAAAACGATAAAATTGTAAATTTGAAATCCTAAACAAGGGAATTTGACTAAAATCTGAAGAGCGATGGATAGTAAAAGTCCTGACATTTCCAATTAACCATGGGAATTTCATGTGATTCTGCTTTTGGGTTATTTTACATCTATTATTTGCCTTTTTGGAGGTCCAATCGTTCATTCATCTCGTTTGACTATTCGACTTCAATAGAAATTGACTGTAGACTAAATCTGTCGCATAAATTATGATCTCAAGAAAACAATTTTAAGATGAATTATCTTCCAGAAACTGTAAAATAAACAGAATATTAACTGCTGCGAACTCTCCCTTCTTTCGAAAATGTTAATGCATAAAACTAAAGAAACCTTATATTTCACCATAGCAGCGAAGTAGTCCACAAATAGTGCAATATGTTTAGTATCTAAAAATATTTAAAAAGAATCATCTCCAAAATTCAATTGTGACTATTTGAGGTGATTTTCATTTATTAAGGGTAACCTTTACCTAAAAGCACGGTGCAATGTGAATAGTTTTGAAAGGGATATTAGTGACTGTTGAATGAGTCTATTTGAGAACGTCGGATAGACTTATTGAAGTCTAACCTGTTTTATATTATAGATTCTAAAATGATAATAATCCCTTAAATTAGATTAGTAACTTCTTATAAACATACACATCTGTCCCATTCACTTCCCAAAGTCTGATAAACATTTGCAATCTGCCAAAGTCATTCAATCTGCTTCAAATGTATGCAAAAGATAATTTAATTACGAGAAAAATATATAAATGATGTGAATTGCAGAGTATGGAATGGGTGGTGACACATCAACGCATGGAGATGTATATAGCTATGGGGTCCTCTTGCTTGAAATGTTCACAGGGAGGAGACCAACTGATGATATGTTCAAAGATGATTTAAATCTCCATAATTATGTGAAGAGGGCACTGCCAAAACAAGTCCTGCAGATTGTAGACCCAGTACTTCTTGCAAAAGGAGAGATAGAAAGAGATGAGGAATCAATTGCAGCACCAGGAAAAGAAGAGGAGGATAATAATGACAACGACAACCATAATGAAATAGAACAACAAAAAGACAACAAAAATTTTGTAAGTTGTCGCCGAGGGAGCAATAAGATGGTAAAGGGCATCATTTCGGCCCTTCAAATTGGATTGGCATGCACAGCAGAATCACCAACAGGACGAATGAATATGAGTAAAGTCTCCAGGGAGCTACAACTCATTAGAAGTGTTTTCCTTGGTTGACATCTACAGAGGAAAACCACAAGGCCCAAAAAGATATGAGAGCATTGTTCTATTGTTACCAGTCAAAAGATTTGTTTGCATTGGTACTCAGAAGTAAGGGTGTAATCTAGTAGTGTCGTAGTATGTTCGGGTTTTATCATTTCATATTCGGGCCTATTCTGTAATATTCATGTAAACCATGTATGAGATACCACAGGACTGGTACTCATATTTTTTTCCAAATGCCAGTAAAACAAATTATTTGTATCTACCCCGGTCATATTCGTGATAATTGGTCGTGTAATTTTTGAGTTTGTGTTAATGGAGAAAATATACACCTACGCCTAAAAGTTTCCAACGAGTTGAGCAGTTAAATGGTATTTTCACTGTCCCTCCTCCTCTTCGGTTTTAATTTATTTTGGGCTGCCAAGAGTTGATCTACCAGCATCATCAGAATGCATCAGTATTTGCTACGAAATACTACCATGAAGAAATGGTTTAATGTTGTCTTGAGTCTACTCGTAGGGTAAAAACTGTCAAAAATAAGAGATTCCTACTTGAATTGCGTCTCTGGCATTAGATTCAAGTGTGGACAATATACCCCATCTGTGGGGCATTGCTTTTGAAGGCAACATAAGTGCTCTGATTTGTATAGTTTAATTTGTGGGATGCATTTGTACTCCCCCAATAGAGATGCCCTATTGGACAACCATAAGACTTTGTTTGTTTGAATGTAAAAAGAATTTGGTTCATGGATAGCAGCTCCGGAGGAATGAATATGCATACAGTTATGTGGTTGTAGCCATTGAAAAAAAATACTCAATAAAGATCTAAAATCACATCAGTATATACAAAAACAGTTTCTCCATTTGCAAAACTATAGTTGTAAAACCATTTGTCAATCAATTGACATTCAACCACCAATTCCATTGATAGTCGATACTCAACAACCCAAACTACTGCCACGAGCTTTTGACCCATCTCATTGGAGTTTTAAAAAAACAAAAGTCTCAATTAAAGGTTGGTTTGAAAGTAATTTTCAAATTCACATTTTTTTTAAAAAGGTTAAATAGAGTAACATTTTTAAGTTAAAGACGTCATTAAGTTAAAGACGTCAAATGAACTGACATTTTTCACTCCAAATTAAGTCCTTTAAAAACAATAATTAATTTAACGTTTTAAAAGAAACGTCAAATTAACTGACGCCTTCTAAATGAAAAATTCACCTGCCTTTACCAAGCCCATTATTTTGACTTGTGAGAATAGCAGCACTCCACAGACAAAGACTTTTAGTGATAGGTTTTGATAATTATCTTAACTGTTTCTAAATTTTATTTCGAGTTTTAATTTATTTCTTAAAATTTTAATTATTTTATTTCAATTAAATCATTTCGTAATACGTAAAAAAAATTTAGTGATAAGTTTTTTGCCTTTTTATTTTCTAAGTAAAATGTTAAATGTTTATTTAATAAATAAATTTTGATAATTTAAAAATACATAAATTTTTTTTGTCCTACTCACAGCTTTCTCCCTATCAATAATATGACAGGAAATCAAGGACTCTGGAACAAGGGATGTCAAGAGGGACTTCACAAACAATTAACAGATCAAAAGTATGGAATATAAGGTAAAAGGAGACATCTCAGACAATACACAATTCCAAAATGTTATCTCAATGACAACTTTGAAGTAGAGTTTGGGAACTGTATCAAAGGCAGAACAAGAGCATATAATATAAACCCCATTTACCAGTAAATTCATCCAGAAATATTGTACAGATCTTTCCCACAATATAATATAAACCCCATTTACCTGTAAATTCATCCAAAAATTCATCCAGAAAGATTTTAAGTTTCTCACTAAAGATTAAATTTCTAACATTATACTCTCAATGTATTAAAAATATTACAATGTGGCCCTTTTATTGACTTTCTGTTAATTTTTTCGTCAATGTCAATAGATTGATTTTTAATGAAAAAAATAACAAAAGCTAACATAAAGGTTACATTGCAACACTTTTAATATATATTGATAGTATAATATAAAAAATTTAATCTTTAAATGTACAAAGTAAATAACTTGAAATATTTCAAGATAAAAAATGAGAAAAGACCTTAAAAAAGATAGCGATATAATCCAAAAATAAAGTCTTTTTCAACATTTTTTTTGTCGTATTTATCATATTATTATTATTATTGTACTTCTAAACATAATTCATAGCATAAATACTCAATTTTAAATTTTTTTTTAAGGTTGAAAAACATGGCATGTGGGTGTGGATGCCCACTACCATTACTCTATTAAATGCTTTGTTCCCAACCACTCTACCCACGATATTGAAATTTGCCTATAAAAAGACCTCAAATTATTGAATCAGAGTATACTAAATGAAATATATATCTTCATCTCTCCCTTTCAGTATTCTTTTTATTTGCTTTTCAAAGTGGGTGTTTTCATCTAAATAGTTTGTTAATACCATATATGTTATGAGAACAACATATGTTGATATTTGTTGTCCTATTTTTAAGTTGTTATTACATTTGAATTAGTACTTGAAGCACGTGTCTAAAGCATATAAATTGTATACCTGAAGTATGTAAAGATTTAAAATAAATTATGTTCCTAAAGAACAGAAAAAAAAAAAAAATCTAGTACTTAGAGTACAAATAATTTCATTATGCTAGAATTGAGAATATAAATTATAAACTCGGAGTTTTATAAATTATATATAAATTACAGATATGAAGTTTGCATAAGATTGTGTCAGCGGCACTTAAGATATCAATTAATGTCTGCAGCATTTTCTTATTATATTCATGCATATTTGTATATTTTTTCGATAGATTCATTCAGACTTGAAAGTTTATTCGAGATAGTTAATTCTAACTTGAGGGAGTAGAGGTTATCAGTTCGAATCTACTATATAGTAATTATAATAATAATAAAAAAAATTTATGTTGAAGTCAAATCGATCCCTCGTAGAGTTAAAAGGCTATTGTGAGCTTAATATAATAATTTATATTGTAACTCCTTATCTTTTAATGAGTAATGGTTAGGTCTCTTTACTTTTAAAAATTATATTTTCACCCGAAATTTTCTGATAGATTAATAAATAGATTCTTTTAATGGCAAAACAATACAAATACATAAGATTTTTTATTAATAATACAACTTAACAAGAAGTACTAGTAACTTGCTGGAAACACAAATAAAATTAAGCTACAAACACTTTTTCGATAAGATTACATCAAATAAATTTGTAGAAATTATGATCATGGTGATATATGATTATATAAAGAAAGAATAAAATTATCACTTCATAGAAAATTAGAATACAAAAGAGATAACCATGAATAGTCTGAGAGAAATTTATATTAGAAGCTGTAGAAGAAATTTTTATTTTCTATAATTTGTATATATATATATATATATATATATATATATATATATATATATATATATATATATATATATAATCAAAGAGACAAATATTTTTATGATATATTCAAATTCACAGGCGAAATTAAATATTTTGGTTTACATGTGATCAGCCATTACTAATGACAAGGATTTGTTGATTGTATTTTTTTTTTTTATCTAATTTGATTATTTTATTTGTTATACATAGCTTTGAGATATGGCCAATCTTGCAAAACTAGGGTTCCCTGGTTTAGATATTTCTAACTCCAACTACCTATTATGGGCACTTGATGTCGAACTTTTCATTGGTTGAGATACTATTCAAACTGAAAACACTGAAATTTAGGAAGATGAAAGCACCTCTTTTTCTTCACCATCATATTCACGCTGGGTTGAGAAATGAATACCTAATCGTAAAAGATCCTTAGTCCTTTAGCAAACCTAATAGATAGATTTAATCACCAAAAAAATATCATTCTTCCAAAAGTTTTGCACAAGTGGTTCAACCTACGGTTTTAGGACTATGAAACTGTACGAGAATATAATTCGAAAATTCATAAAATTATATCTAAATTTAGATGTGTGAATAGCTTGTCACTGATGTTGACAAACTAGAGAAAACATACTCCACATTTTATGCATCAAATATTATAATACAACAACAATATCGATATAATGGGTTCAACACATATAGTAACCTCATAACATGTCTCTTACTTGTCGACGACAATAACGAATTACTAATGAGGAACCATGAGGCTCGTTCAACTAGCCACCAAGCCTTCCCAGACGCGAATGTCACATTTTTTTGTGGTCAAGGACGAGATCATGGTTACAATCATGGCAAAAAAAAATTAATTATTTTCGCAAGTGTTACTGTGACACCCCAAAATCCTTGTGTCTGTAATTATCTGATTGATTATCTATCAACCCGCGGAATATCCGTGGATACCATGTAATTCGATACCACGTCGTTATGTTTCATTTATCGAGATCCATAACTTAACAAAATTTGGATAGAGTCTCCTTTATATGAGGAGCTCTACCCAAAATGCAACATGTACAATATTGACCACACTGGGTCTATCCATTCATTCACAATTGTATAGTATTGAATACTACCATAATCATCATCATTATGTATATTTATTCATAAAAAAATTAATGTCTCAACAGAGTTCCTTATACATAAACAAGTTTTTGTTACAAAAATTACACAAGGCCAAAAGTAATTATAAACAAGAGACTACGATGTCAAAAGAAGAGTCACAGACCGGCTCTGTTGTCAAAGTGGGCCCATGGTCTCGCCTTCGGTGGACGCTTGTGCAATACCTAAAAAATGTTCTCATAAAGGGTGAGTCAATACTCAATAGGGTAACTCCTATATAGAATATCTTTCAACCTAAATGCATAATAAAGGTCACATACAACAATCATTTCATGCAATCATTCAAATATGTCTATTATGAACAAATGTCATAAATCATGTCATGCCATGAGATGAGACTCACGAAAACAGTACCAACACCGAACCTCATCCTGAGCTCCTACAACACATGTAATGTCATGCGTATGTATCCAAGCATTCCAAGCCCCCGTCA